TTGCTTAGTTTGTTTTTGTTTTTAGGTTCAGTTGTTGATAGTGGTGAGTTTGTTTTCATTTTACTGTTCATATTCTTTATCATTTTCTTTTTCTTAGACTAGTCCCTTTAACATTTCATATAATAAAGGCTTGGTGATGATGAACTCTTTTAACTTGACTTATCAGGGAAGCACTGTATCTGCCCTTCCATTCTAAATGATAGCTTTGCTGGATAGAGTCATCTTGGATGTTGGTCCTTGCCTTTCATGACTTTGAATATTTCTTTCCAGTCTACAGTCATACCACCTGAATGTACCTGATGTCATCTGAATACTTCTTTCCAGCCCCTTCTTGCCTGCAAGGTTTCTTTTGAGAAATCAGCAGAGAGTCTCATGGGAACTCCTTTGTAGGTAATTGTCTGCTTTTCTTTTGCTGCTTTTCAGATTCTCTCCTTATCTTTCATCTTGGATAATGTAATTATGATTACACAATTGTGATGGTGTGTGCTCCCTTGGGTCCAATTTCTTTGGGACTCGCTGAGCTTCCTAAACTTCCTGGAAGTCTATTTTCTTCACCAGATTGGCGAACTTATCCATTATTTTTTCAAATAAGTTTTCAATTTCTTGTTCTTCTTCTCCTTCTGGCACCCCTATGATTTGGATGCTGGAATGTTTAAAGTTGTCCCAGGGGTTCCTCAGCCTCTCCTCATTTTTTTTTTTGAATTTTTGTTTCTTCATTCTGTTCTGGTTGAATGTTTATTTCTTCCTTCTGCTCCATACCATTGATTTAAGTCCTGATTTCCTTTCCCTCACTGTTGGTTCCTTGTGCATTTTTCTTTATTTCACTTTGCATAGCATTCTTTTTTTTTTTTTTTTTTTGCTCTTCTCTGACCATTTCTCAACCATTTCTGTGAGCATCCTGATTACCCATGTTTTGAACGCTGCATAAGACAGGTTGGCTATGTCTTCATTGCTTGATTGTATTTTTTTCTGGAGCTTTGATCTGTTCTTTGTTTTGGGCCATATTTCTTTGTCTTGGTGCACCTGTTACATCCTAAGGGGCAGATCCATAGGAATTCACCAGGGCAGGGCAACACACTGTTGCTGTATTGTGTCACTGTATGTGGGGGAGAAGCCAGAGAGGGAACAATGCTGCTTGCTTAGCCCTTGGCCAGCTTTCACTCACTTCCTCTGCTACCCACAAGCAAATTGGGCCCTTCTGGTGCTGATTCCTGGGTGGGTGGGTTTGTGTACATTCTAAGACCTTGTGGGTCTCTCCAACAAACTCTCCTGTGAAGCTGGAAATTTCTCCTGCCACTGCAACCCCCGCAGGTTTTTATAGCTAGAGGTTTTGAGGCTGTCTTTTCCTTCAGTGGAACCATGGCTTGTACAGTCTGTCTCACTTCCCAGTTCTTCCTAGTTTATCTGCTTGCAAAAGTGGGACCACCCAGTCTTCCAGCCACCACCTTTCCTGCCCTGGTCTGCCAGCCCCCTGCCTTGCCTGCCCAGTCCTCCAGCTGCTGCCTTGCCACATGTCCTCTCCATTCTGGCTCCCCATCTTATCCCCTCCTACCAGTCTGAATGAATTTTTTTCTTTAACTGCTTGGTTGTTGGACTTCTATACAGTTTGATTTTCTGGTAGTTCTGGTTGTTTTCTGTTTTTAAATTTGTTGTTGTCCTTCTTTTGGTTGTGCAACGAGGCAAAGAGTATCAACTTATACTTCCATCTTAGCAAGGAGTCTATAATACTATTTTGAATGCTAATAGTAAAAGCAGCTATCCTTCAGTTGTTTCCAACACTAAGGGAATGTTTGACTCTTGAGCATGGTGTGGAAGTTTGCTGTAGGTTTCTGGTAGGTAACTTTTGTTGAATTAAGAATCAGAAGATCAGACTTTCACCAAGATGGAGGCATAGGTGGAAACATTGTGCCTTCTTGCACAACCAAGTTTAAAAACAACAAAGTTTTAGCAACAAAAACGCAGCCAAACCACAGAAAATTGAACTATGCAGAAGTCCGACAACAATAAACTGTTCATCTGACCAGTAAGAGGGGCAGAGCCAGCAGCGGAGCAGGGTCGGGCAGAAAAGATCTACCAGACTGACCCAGGTGCGTGACCCAGGCATGCAGGCAGCCATAGGTGGATCCCAGGTGTGGAGTAGCAACGGGCGGACCCACTGAGGGTGCAAGGGGGCAGGCTGATCACAGTCACACATTCAAGCACAGATAAACAAGGCAAAGGAGTGAGCAGTGACACAGACTATGCAGGCCCCAGCAGTGGGAAGCAGCAGAGGGGACCGCTATTGCTCCTCTTTGACCCCGCCCCCACATACAGCTTCACAACCCAGCGACCTGGGAGGCCCTGCCCTGGTGAACACCTAAGGCTCCGCTCCTCGTACTTAACAGGCACGAACAGACAAAAAATGGCCCAAGAAGATCTCAAAGCCCCAGAGCCCATAACTCTAAGCGACGAAGAAATAGCAAAACTTTCAGATGCATAGTTCAAAACACTGGTGATCAGGATGCTCACAGAACTGGTTGATTTTAGTCACAAATCAGAGGAACATATGAAGGCTAAACTAATTGAAATGAAGGGAAATGCACAGGAAACCAATAGTCATGGAAAGGAAACTGGGACTCAAATCAATGGAGTGGACCAGAAGGAGGAAAAAATGACTAAACAGAAAAGGATGAAGAAACAAGAGTTCAAAAAAAAAATGAGGAGAGGCTAAGGAACCTCCAGGACATCTTTAAACACTCCAACATCCGAATTATAGGGGTACCAGAAGGGGAAGAGGAAAATCCAGGAGTGGAAACCTTATTTGAACAAACAATAAAGGAGAACTTCCCCATTCTGGCAAAGGAAATAGACTTCCAGGAAATCCAGGAAGCACAGAGAGTCCCAAAGAAGTTGGACCCAAGAAGGAACACATCAAGGCACACCATAATTATATTAGCCAAGATTAAAACGAAGGAGAAAATCCTAGAAGCAGCAAGAGATAAGGGGACAGTCACCTACAAAGGAGTTCCCATCAGACTGTCAAAAGAGGATTTCTCAAAAGAGACTTTACAGGCAAGAAGGGGCTGGAAAGAAGTATTCCAAGTCATGAAATCCAAAGATCTACATCCAAGATTGCTCTATCCAGCAAAGCTTTCATTTAGAATGGAAGGGCAGATAAAGTGCTTCTCAGATAAGGTCAAATTCAAGGAGTTCATCATCACCAAGCCCTTATTATATGAAATGTTAAAGGGACTTACCTATGAAAAAGAAGATAAAAAAGATGAACAGTGAAAGGACAGCAAACTCACAGTTATTAAAAACCACACCTAAAACAAAAGCAAACTAAGAAGACAGCTAGATCAGGAGCAGAACCGTAGAAATGGAGATCACATGGAGGGGTAGCAACAGGGGAGTGGGAGAAGGAGAAAGAGGGAGAAGGTACCAAAAATAAATAGCATAAATGGTAGGTAGAAAGTAGTAGGGAGGAAGAAAAGAATAGTATGGGAAATGTAGAATCTAAAGAACTTGAGACACGTGGTCATAAACTAAATGGGGGAATGGTGGGAGAGGGGGTATGCAGGGTGGAGGGAAATGAAGGGGGAAATAAAAGAACTGTAATGGCATAATCAATAAAATATATATTAAAAAGAATCAGAAGATCAGAAAATAAATATTATGTGTGTGTATGTGTATATTCTGTCGTGATCTCTTTTTTCTTGTGGCAAGGAATTATGGGTGATTTGAGTTTTTAATTTTTTTCTTTTTCACATGTTACTTCAGAGGGGAGAAGAAAAGCTCACTAGTAATCTTTTTAAGCAGTAAGAATATAGTATAGCAGTGTATTTAAAGTGCGAAACTGGAGCAGGTATCCATTTGAACATACTAGGTAAACAGGTGGAAGACTAATGCCTGAGCTGGAATATTCCTATTGTAACTATTCTCTCTTCTGGTAAGGATGACTGAGGGATTTTGTGGTGAAGCCAATGAGAAAGACACTGGAGGTCAACCTGTTCTCCAGGCTAAGTTCACGGGAAAAGGACTAACAGTGATGTATTTGATATAAAGGGAGTAAAAGGTGAAAGTGAGCATGTTTACTTTTCCACAAGCTTTGGAATTGGTGGGGATCTGTGGTGGCTGTCTGGAATATAAACTTTGCCTAGTTCTGCTCTGGGCCTGGCAAGCCTAACCTACATGTTGGGAAGGATCCTGGTGGCTGTATTAGATGGGAGGACTAAATAAGGTAAAACTAAATAGTTCTTAATAAAAAAAAAGACAAAGTTCAGAAACTGACGGTCAACATCAAATGTCAAACTGTAGAAATGAATCTAGAGCATTATGTAATCAGGAACTGAGGATATTAGGAAGAATAGGTGAAGAGGTTAGTGCAAGATTAAAGTGAATTATTTATGAACTTCAGGCTGTTTATTTCAGTTAAATTGAATTATTAGTGAAACTCAGGCCATCAATTGTATACAAGGCAAAAATATAGAGTTCTAGAGAGTTTTGTAATAAAACTTTATTTTGAAATAACTTTCAACTTAGAGAAAAATCACAAAAACAGTACAGAGAGTTCTTGTAGATGTTTCACCTGGCTTCTCCTAATGTTAATATCTTAGACAACCAAAGTTCAATTATCAAGACCAGTTTTGTTTTGTTTTTAATTCTGTGCTGGCTATGTGTTGAGAGTTGGGGCCAACTGTCTGTGACCTTTGCACAGGACAGACCAGATGGGTAAGGAGAGTCCTAACACCATGTGCCATTATATCAGACTGAATGACAGAAAGGGAGTGGTCTCAAGTGATACTTCCTGGTGAAAACTGTGCTATGAAAAGGGAAAATCTGTACATCCTCAATTCCAGTCTATGGAAATGAAGTAAAAGAAAGGGATGAGAGAGAAAAACAGATTCATAGTCATATCCCTAAGGAAATTGTGAAAGAAAAGCAGGTGTGTGGTAATTAAAATGTATTTTGCACCCGACAGATCACTGGTTGGAAAAACTCTAATTAAGATTCATTTTCTCACACTTACCTGGCAGGGGAGATACTGTGATCGCAAAGGTTGTTTTCCCAAGGCAAGGTTTATCCATTGCATTCCAGATGTGCTGACCCTTGCAATTTCTCCAAATATGGGAAGCTTGATTGCATAATTTACAATAGGAGGGCTTGCGTTCATGCTTTGCCCTGAGGGAAGAAAAGGGAAAAAAAGAGATTCATTTTCTCAGAATTTTACTAAATAGATTTCATGAGTCATGAAGGAGGAAAAGCACTGATTACTGCCATGTCTACACATTTAAACGCTACTGCTTCACACCTTTGGGGATTCTCTTCCACATACCTCCGAGCAGGTGAGGCATGGTAACTCCACGATTAGCATTCACATGATGGCTTTCACAGATGAGTGAGATGGAAGTGCTTAAATTAGGTTTTCCAATTGCACCATGGTATCAGAGATGACCCAGTGAAAGAAGAATAGTTTAAAGAGTAACCACAGTAATAGCTTGATACTCTTTTGGGATAACAGTTACAAAAAGCAACAAAGTGACTTCAATCCACTACAGGATGGTAGAGAAATATTTGAAAATGTAAAACACTTACTAAAACACTGATGTAGTTATTACCATACACAGAAATTTCCTATCTGGATATGGGATCAAGAAACTTTTCTAAGGAATGGTGGGAATCTGGGCAGATACATTTGAAAATCTTCCACAAATATAAAATGGTGTAAACAAATGTTGTGTTTTCAAAGGACTTTTGAGCATAAGGATTCCATTACATCATTCATTTATATATTTAACAAATAAACTCTGCCAGGTTCATATTCTGGTTATATAGCTATGAATTAAGACTGGTAGATCTTTTATATTCTAGTTGAGGAAATAGAAAAATTACAAAAATATACCAACACAAAATAATTTTAGATAGTGATTTAACACTGTGAAAAAAAGAACATAGGATTAAGTGATAGAGGTCAACAGGTGTGGAGGCAGAGGGCCTCCTTCAGACTATGCTGCAGGCAAAGCCTCTCTGCAGAGGTGACAGTTTGATACTGCAGTTTTCTGTCTGCTACTGATCAGAAAGGCAGTAGTTAGACATCAGGACTTGCCTTTTCCAGTGTATTCCTGGACTTTGTTAAAAATTCAGCCAGTCAAGGGCCATGTAAAGACAAGACTGATCCAGAGCTCAGGAAGGGAAAGTATAGGATGAGTCATGCATACATATATGGAAGAGAAGAAAAACCCCTTACTGTGAAAGATCAACGGATAAACACAGAAAGAATGAAGAAGTTAGGAAATCACTAATGTTTGCTAAAACTAATGGGTGAACAGGATTTTGACATAGTTTCAAAACATTTTTCTATCGATGACATATTAATTACAAATATAAAGTTGTAACTTTACAGTAAAAAAAAAACATGGTGATATTGCCTAATCAAGTGATCAAAGTTACATCACTATCACTGGGCAAACTGACTCACATGCCTCCTGATGAGAAGCACTGAGAAGATAACATCACTCTAGTGGTGTTGCTATCAAAACTGCGTAAACTGAATTTGTAGTTATGAGAAACCATCAAAGCAAAAACTGATCAACAAAATAACTGGCCTGAACTCTTCAAAGATACCAAAATCTAGATAGATTTGCAGAATTGTTCTAGATTAAAAGAGATTAATTAAAATCTATACATACATGACCCTGGATTAGATTCTAAACTGGAGATATGAAGAAAAACTATAAAGGACATTACTGGAACAAGAGGGGAAAAATAGTCTATATACCATGGATTAGATAACAGTATTATGTCAATGTTAAATTTCCTGATTTGTTAAAAAAATTTTTTTGTACTTAGGAAGTACCAAAGTGTTTAGTGATATCTGCAACATACTCTCAAATGGTTCAAAAAAGGTATACACACGGAATGATGAAGCAAAAGAAATTTTGCAAACAATTAGTGGATCTGAGTAAATGGTATAAAAGAGTTTCTTGTAGTATTGTTTCAATTTTTCTATAAGTATGATAATACATCAACATGAAGAGTTACCAAAAAACCAACCAGCTAACCAAACGAACACACATACCTCAAACCTCAGTTGTTTGATCTTCATCTGGTAGTATGATGAAGTCATGATTCCTGAAGGAACTCCACTTCCATGGCACAGCCGTGTAAGGTAGAACCAAGCTCTTATTAACCTGTAACCCTGGATAAGGTAGTAGCAGAAGCCAAGTTCCAACCACACTCCTCTCTGCCCTCTGAGTGCAAACCTAATTCATCCTTCATACTCAGTACTTATCAATCTAGTCAAAACCATGATCTTTCTTTCCATTGGTTTTCCCAGAAATGTAAAACATCCAAAATATCTGGATATTTTCTCAGTGAAATTATTTTCTTATCTTCGAGTAGAAAGACATTATGAAGCAAGCTTCTTAACAGCAATCAACAGAAACTGATTCTGGCTGATTAAAATAGAAAAGAAATGTATTAAAAGATACTATACCTGATTTTTACTTTTGACAATTTAGAACAACATTCATACTGGAAATAACTAGGAAAGCTGAATGAAATATAAAATGTCCTTTCTAACAGCATCAAAGATCTGTAGCAAGACTGTGAGGAATTATTAAGCCAAGATAATAGAAACAGAAATCCAGATATTTCCAACCTGGGAAAAAGAGCTGAGAGTCTGATCAGTGCCTTTGACAGTCTGACTGGGCTAGGGTAGAGTTCTGAAAACTTTTCTTTAAAAGCCCAGATAAGTATTTTAGGGTTGAAGGACATAAAGTCTCTGGGTCTTCTGACATAACTCATCAACTCTGCCATTGTAATGCAAAAGCAATTATACTGGAGATATGTGCACACTCGTGTTAATGGCAGCACTATTTATAATAGCCAAATACATGAAAGCAATCTAAATGTCCACTGGTGGGTAACTGGATAAACAAAATAACACACACACACACAGAGTAGACTATTATTCAGACTTAAAAAGGAAGGAAATTCAAATACTTTCTACAACACAGATGAAACTTGAGGGCATTATGATAAATAAATCAGTAACAAAAAAACCCAAATAGTATATAATCCCACATATATGAGGCATTAAAAGTAGGCAAATTCATAGAAATAGAAAGTAGAATATGGCTACCAGGAGCTGGGGAAGGGAAAAGAAGTTAGTTGTTATGTAACAGGTACAGAGTTTCAGACTTGTAGGATAAAAAAAAGTTCTGGGAGACTTCCACCAAGATGGAGGCATAGGTGGAAGCATTGCACCTTCTCACACAACCAAGTTTAAAAACAACAAGGTTTTAGCAACAAAAACGCAGCCAAACCACAGAAAATTGAACTACACGGAAGTCTGACAACAACGAACCCTTCAACCAAACCAGTAAGAGGGGCAGAGCCAGCAACAGGGTGGGGTCGGGCAGGAAAGACCCACTGGACCGTCCAGGGCACCAAACCCAGGTGCTCCAGCAGCCGTGGGCGGATCCTAGGTGTGGAGTAGTGGGCAAACCCACTGAGGGCTGATCGGGGTCACACATGCGCATGCAGATAAACCGGTGAAGGAGCTAGCGGTGGTGATAGAGACCACACAGGCCCCAGTGGTGGGAAGCAGCAGAGAGAACAGCCACTGTCCCTCTCTGACCCCGTCCCCACCTACAGCATCAGAAACCAGCGACCTGGGTGGCCCCACCGTGGTGAACATCTAAGGCTTCGCTCCTCATACTTAACAGGCACAAACAGATCAAAACATGGCTCAAGAACAACTTAGAACCCCTGGGCCGATAAATCTAAGTGATGAAGAAATAGCCAAACATTCAGGTGCACAGTCCAAAACACTGGTGATCAGGATGCTCACAGAACTGGTTGATTTTAGTCACAAATTAGAGGAATATATGAAGGCTAAACTAATTGAAATGAAGGGAAATGCACAGGAAACCAATAGTGATGGAAAGGAAACTGGGACTCAAATCAAAGGAGTGGACCAGAAGGAGGAAAAAATGACCAAACAGAAAAGGATGAAGTAACAAGAATTCAAAAAAGTGAGGAGAGGCTTAGGAACCTCCAGGACATTTTTAAATGTTCCAACATCCGAATTATAGGGATACCAGAAGGGGAAGAGGAAAATCCAGGAGTGGAAACCTTATTTGAACAAACAATAAAGGAGAACTTCCCCATTCTGGCAAAGGAAATAGACTTCCAGGAAATCCAGGAAGCACAGAGAGTCCCAAAGAAGTTGGACCCAAGAAGGAACACACCAAGGCACATCATAATTATATTAGCCAAGATTAAAATGAAGGAGAAAATCCTAGAAGCAGCAAGAGATAAGGGGACAGTCACCTACAAAGGAGTGTCCATCAGACTGTCAAAAGGGGATTTCTCAAAAGAGACCTTACAGGCAGGAAGGGGCTGGAAAGAAGTATTCCAAGTCATGAAATCTAAAGACCTACATCCAAGATTGCTCTATCCAGCAAAGCTTTCATTTAGAATGGAAGGGCAGATAAAGTGCTTCTCAGATAAGGTCAAATTCAAGGAGTTCATCATCACCAAGCCCTTATTATATGAAATGTTAAAGGGACTTACCTAAGAAAAAGAAGATAAAAAAGATGAACAGTGAAAGGACAGCAAACTCACAGTTATTAACAACCACACCTAAAACAAAAGCAAACTAAGAGGACAGCCAGATCAGGAGCAGAACCATAGAAATGGAGATCACATGGAGGGTTAGCAACGGGGGAATGGAAGAAGGAGAAGGGGGGAGAAGATACAGAAAATAAGTAGCATAGATGATGGGTAGAAAATAGATAGGGGGAGGGCAAGAATAGTAGGGGAAATGTAGAATCTAAAGAACTTGAGATACATGGTCATAAACTAAAGGGGGAATGGTGGGGGAGGAGGTGTGCAGGGTAGAAGGGAATGAAGGGGAAATAGAACAAATGTAATGGCATAATTCATAAAATATATTTTTAAAAGTTCTGGATATCTGTTTCACAATAATGTGAATACACTTAACACTACTGAACTATACATTTGAAAAAGGTTAAGATGTTAATTTTCAGTTATGTGCTTTTTTAAACACAATAAAAATGTGCAACAGTAAAAAAGAATATCAATCAGGGTGTTAAAATAGTGATCAGGATTTTATGGTTGAAACAAACAAAAAAAGTTTTAAGAATCAACAAAGAGAC